AATGGATGATAGATAATGGATAGTAGATAATGGATAATAGATAATAGACAATAGATAAATAGATCATGGATCATGGATCATAGATATTATATAGTTATTATATAGTTATTATATTTCCATTAACTCTTCTCTTTTGACAGTTTTCTAAACAGCCCCTGGAATGTGTACAGAAGGCCAGAGAGATGATGTTCATCCCGAGTGGCTGGTGGCATTCTGTCGTCAATCTTGATGATACTGTAGCAGTCACACAAAACTTCTGTAATAAATATAGGTGAGTCAACAAACTACTCCTCTCTGAGCTACTCTCTGTGTCCAACCCTTCTTCACTTATTCTCTTCCAAGCCCATCATCTCTCCCCTCATCCCTCCTTTCATCCATCTATTCATCCCATCCAATCCTATCCTATCCCGTTTTATCCCATCCCATCCATCCATTCAACCATCTATCCATTACTCTTTCCATTGACAGCAAAAAATTGATCTGCATTGGTGTTTGGGGGGGGGGGGGTAGGGAGGGATGATTTTTTGTGGTTTGTTGGAATCCACCACTCCCTCCCCCACGAGAAATGCTATGAACACACGCCCTTACTAACCCCCTCTCCCTCTCCTCCCTTCCCCTCTGCTGATTTACGCACAACACTGTACATGCAGTATCTTCGAATTGATTTCAGTTTCAAGTCATGTTTAAAAGAACTCAAAGAACAAGCAGACAGTGATGGGTTGTTCATAGGAAAAACATTCGAACAACTGAGAGACCTTTACAGCAACCAGTACCAGGGATACTTCGACAAGGATGATATGAACTTCCACGCCCCCGAGACAGGAATCGGGAAGACTGCACATGAAATCAAAGAGAAGAGAATAGAGAAACTAAAAGAAATATTATCTGGGAAATATTGAAAATCACACACAGCTGACAAAGAATGGGTTCATAATTCTTTACAACTCAAAACAAGATTGGATACGTGATTAGTATCCGCCATATTGGATGAAGTACAAGGGAAGGAATACCGGAGCAAAAGAAATTTTTTGTCTTATTGAAATATTAAAAATCAAATGCAGTTGACAAATAAGGAGAGACGCACATCTCGCCGAAACGTGTTTTTTTTTTAAAGCACTTGTCATCATATATATATATCATCATATACATATCATATTTTCATGTAAGAATTCTACAGATAGTGCTACTTAAATTTTAAAAAATAACGATTTTATCAACGTTGCGTTTACTTTGTGATCATCAAACCTTCGTGAAAAATAGGCAGCCAAATGTGTGCATATAATATAATTATGATTATGATATTACTGTAATAAACTTATTTTCCCTGTTAACCTTTTGGTTATTAGCTGTCACCTATCTCTAAGTTATTAAATAGATAAACTTTATTTAATCACGCTAACATATACGACAAATTAAGCTGATTCCCAATATGGGCGTGCAGATAAAAATCTTAATTATGATATAATATAAATTGTACAATTAAATAAAAGGCTAAAGATAAAAATATGTGTAAGGCCAAAGGATAAGAGTTTGTTGTGAAACGAGACTAGAGAGTGACTCACAGTTGCGTACATCAAATATAGCTTATCTTTGGGGGCAGGGGTCGGCAAACTCTGTTAAGGGATGCCAAAACCTGAATTCTTAAAAAACGTTTCAGTTATGGTGGTGATTATGGAATTCTTTACCTACGTTTCTTGACCCTAATTCTCGTTTCCCAGCAGTTCAACTAAAGGAAAGACATACGAGCTGGCCACACATTCAGTGAAGGTCAGGCGCAGTGGCATGTTGAGTGACGTCAGTGCATTATGGGATATGGGAGACAGTGAAGCTTTGGCAGGCTGTGCACTCCTTGAAAGTAACAGGTGTAAGATACAGCGATTACCGTCCATTAACACCTTCAATAAGGTAAGACAAGAAGACACTGAACCACGGTAATGCAGATTAGAGACGTGACATGGGGTCACGCTCCTACAGGTGTAAGTGCTTACCGTTCATCCAATACCTTCAATATCGTTACACAAGGAATTAGAAGCGTGACATTGAACCACGGTAATGCGGATTAGAGACGTGACATGGAGTCACGCTCCTACAGGTGTAAGAAAAACTGCTTACCATCCATCCAATACCATCCATCCAATACCTTCAATATTGTTAGACTAGGAATTAGGAGCGCGACACCGAATCACGGTATTTGGGATTAGGAGCGTGACATGAAGTCACGATAATATGTTTGCGTAACATTATGTAATTTTATAGAAATCCACGAAAGTAACTTAAATATTCAGCGGGAATAAAATGTTGAGGTAGGAGTTTGGAACATGAGTATGGCGCATTCAGGTATAGCTTAGGTACAAATATATTTTGCATATCATGGTGTTAGTGACCCAACCTAGAAAAGAATGCATTTTGTTTCTCTAAGTTTTAAAAAGCCTTCGTTGTTCGTATTTAGCAATCAGACGCCAATCAAATGCTGGCGGCTTTGAGGTACTTCGAACGAGCAATCAAGCCAAAAGTAATGGTTCAACATCCACAAGGGAAGCCAGACTTCAGCTGGGGAGCTGTAGAGATGATAGTACTTGGGAACTGCCTGTTGTCTCTCTGTCAGAACGTCAAACAAATCTTCATGAATGAACCAAGACTCATCAGGATCCAGTCCCCCGTTTATGTTCTCGGTAAGATGTTACCGTGTTAGTCCTGGACTCTGGCATGAAAACCCACTTCATAACCATAGGTGTCTCTTATAGCCTAGTAATAGCTCATCCAATCGGAAGGCAGCATTGATAATAGACCATGAGTTGGATTTGACTAAAAGTAGTATGTTGTTTGTGTTTTTTAGGTGATATCCATGGTAACTTCCATGATTTAGTTTGTTTTGAGAAGTTGCTATGGAGAATGGGCCCAATACTGACCCCTGCTAACTTTCTGTTCCTTGGTGACTACGTTGATCGAGGGGAGTGTGGATTAGAGGTGAGAAAGACACTATTATTAGCCTTTAAGTCTGATTAGAACTTAAGAGGAACACTGAGGATGTTAATAAAGTATTGTTTGACCTGCGGAACAATCTTAGGAAAAATTATTTTTAATAGCGCAACTGTTAATTGTATGCACTTATTATCTTTGTACTCCAAAATAGTGAATCAAGAAATGTTTATCTGAATTAGATTTCCATTTCTTTTCTTCAGGTTATTGCTTACCTTTTTTCTCAAAAGCTGCTCGCTCCTTCTAAGTTTTACCTCATCAGAGGAAACCACGAGTGTCGCACCATACAAAAGATGTTTACCTTCAAAACGTAAGTCATGTACAATATTACACATCGTATCAGGGCTGACTAGAGAAACATTCTGTGAATCACCTATCAATAGAGTTAACTTCCTTATTAAATATTATTTACTATTATGACTAAGTAAGCGTAATGGAATAGTCGCTTTCACAGTTCCCTGCGCCATCTTGAAAGGTAGCCGTGCACTTGCGTCGAAGAAGTGCGATCTTGTGCACATGCTCTTAATCGGATAGCGCTGACTGTATGCCTTTATTTTCTAGTGAATGTGAAAAAAAGTTTGGTAAAGAAATGGGTAATACCGTGTGGCGAGGGATCAATGCTGTCTTTGATGTTCTGCCCTTGGCGGCCACTATTGATGATAAGGTAAACAACCCGACCTAATAGACTACTTCAACCATACGACGGCCATCTTGAATCGAAAGGCATTGTGGTCCATTATGGGTCATTTCTTTGTTTAACGGTTGAACATGAGAAGACACATGAATTTGCATACAACTCAAACAAAGAATCTTATTTGTAAGGAAATGACGCGTGGTCTGTTCCACTGCACCAAGACGAATTAGGTCTATTGTACCAACCACCTTTGCAGGGCACCAGCAAATAGCGCAATAGAGGCTTTGCACCATCACGTGATGGCAGCCATGACAAGAGGCACGAAAAGAGTCCTTTTCCCCTCGGAAACTAAATTCTTTCTCATGTAAATCAGATGAGACCAGATTCAATTGTTCCTGCCTGCTGTCATGGCTGCCATCACGTGATGGTGCAAAGCCTCTATAGCATTTCTCTCCTCTTGGTTGTTTTTGTCTTTTCTTTTATAGATATTCTGTGTCCATGGTGGAATACCGCTGCCCATCCAAGGTAGCGGGCGCATCGAAGCAATCAATGAAGTTCAAGTGAACCTTGATGAACCTGATAACCAAAACGACTTGGCCTGGGAGCTAATGTGGGGAGATCCAGTCAGGTATGGTAAATATATGTATCAATAGACCATGTTTATTCGCACCAGAATAAAAACGTTCAATTATGCTGAGTAAACTTATCCTGAAGTGCTTGAATACGAGGCTAATGGGGCAAAGAAGAATCTGTCCTTCTTGGCAGCAGCCTTGTTTATTCCCATAAGGATATAAACCTCTTTGGTTATGCTCGTGTATGTGAACCGGACTACCCAAGCAAATCTATTGTTCCATGCCAGGCAACATGTCCTAGCTTAGTATAAGTATAGCGTATTGATAGCAAGAAGATAATTAAGACTTAAGTACGCTTTATTTCATTATTTTAAAGTCTTTATTCCCTTTATTTCTTGTAAACAAAATTAAATTACGAATAGAAATACAAAGAAAAAACATCAGTAACAAGCGCAGTTGTGCATTGCTCATTAACAGCAGCTGTCTTTCCTCACACCTGTTAGAGATGAAGTCCTGCACTGAGTCTGTATATGTTGCTGACACTTTGGTTAAATATTATTGAGATCATCATATTTTCTTGAAATTCACTGCAAAATATTTATAAACTCAGAACTAGATATCAATAGTAAACTAACTGTTCTGGAATTATTTTAAAGTATTATTCATTCATTATTCGTCACTACATTTTCGTTGGTAGACGATGCGAAATTGTCATCAAAAAGTCGAAAATTGTAGTAGAAAACTCTACCTTTTAACAAATAACACCCCAACCCTTTCTCACCCCCTCTTCATGACCCACTCTTTGAAGAGCGCAAAGTCATGCCCCCCCCCCCCCCCCCTGTTCTAGACCCTCGACCCTTGATAAATTATAAGCGGTTATTATTAAGTATCATTTGCAACACAAACATTAACATCAGCAGCGTACACAAGCTCAGTTGTGCATTGCTCATTAACAGCAGTTGTCTTTCCTTGTACCTGTTAGAGAAGAGCTGGACTGAGTCTGTGTATGTTGCTGATACTTATACTATTGTTGCAAGTGTGAAAGAGACCTTAAGTCCTCGTCATGTCAACTTGTTGATGTTATACTCGAGTGGTTTTTGTCCTTCACATCAGGACTGGTCCATGGACTATTTTTATCATCTTCACTGGTAAACATCATGGTCGATATTAATTCATCATCACTAGACGTACTGCTGTTTGGACTCATGTCATCGCTACTTTTAGAAAACGTTTTTCTATTTCGTACTGACAGCATTGGTTGAGTGTATTTTAAGAGGAAGGCCTTTTGGTCCATCTCTTTGTTGTTCTCTTTACTGTGGGAAATACCGTAGATAAAGTAAACTGCGAATCCTGAGAAAAACAGACGAAAAAGATACCTCTGTTGGTTATTAATTCTTTTTAAAAGAAATAGTTGGTTATCCTAAGAAACTTACACAAATTAGTGATGATGATGATGGTGATGATGGTGGTGATGGT